GCTTTCGTGGGCTGCGAGGGAGTACTTCGTCACGATCTTGTAAGAAACCAACACACAGCCAGCTCTGGTCTAAAATGGGAGGTGGCGGAACCAGCTTCATAGAGGCACTGAGTGGTTTATAAGGACCACACACCCCGCACGTCCCCAGAGCTTACTTAAGGCTTCGCCGAGTCAGGATCTGTGCGGGGACTGGGTGCTGAGTTCAGCTCCCCAAAGAGCCATCCTTCCCACTAGGTCGATAGCGTCTGGGTCTCAAAGCCTTGCCTCTGGCCAGCGCCAGTGCAGGAAATACTGGAAATGAGGTCAAAATGGGAAGGCATAATGAGTCAAAATCCTTACACGCTCGAGGGTCAACCGAACTATATAGGCTTGTACCGATTTTTAAAATTGCCCCATTCATTGTAGGATCGGTTTAGGAAGTACTGTTCCTTAACCAAGTGCACAGCAAGGAGAAAGCTATGCTTTATAGCGGATACTTTTGAGAATGAAGATCCATTTGGTGAGTAATGTGTGGCATCTGTAATATGATTATACAGTGTTTCTTTTAAAGCCAAATGCATTCATGTAGAATAGGTTGTGTCTATGGTGCCTATCAAATATAAGAGCAACAAAAAGATACCATTTTCCATAGAGCCTAGGAAAAATAGATAGGCACTGATTGCTCAACCAAGGAGCCCTGGTGAGGTAGTTGATGAAGTATTGGGCGGCTAACCACAAGGTCAGTGGTTGGAGCTCCACCAGCAGCTCTGTGGAAAAAGGAAATTTCTGCTCTTAAAAGCTTTACAGCCTCAGAAACCCACAGGGGCAGTTCTACCCTGTCCCATCGAGCCTGTAGCTTTTGAACCAACATGTCAACCAACTGTTGCATATGCCATTTTAAAACTGAAGATGTGTGAACTTAGAAGATGTCTTGTTTGTGTGATCAGTGAGAAATAATGCCTCGTACCAGTGTCACCAGCATCATCTCTTGGCCCTTTCTGTTTAGAACTTGAACTCGCCAGAATTAGTGAATTAGTCTGTTGTAGAAGTAGTCTGTTGTGTTATTCATAATAACTAGTTGATCTAGATTCCTTTATTTTCTGAAGTTCATTCTTTCCATCCTGCACTTCTTCAAATGTGTTGTTCTTTCTCAACCTGACTATGGGTAATGGTTAGCCATCAAACTTCGAAATACACACACACCCCCAGGTAGCTCCATAATGTCCAAGTTTACGTGTTTTGACCCACTCAGACCAAGAATCTAAGTTTCATTTTTGATTCATGATACCATTTTGTGATGTTTGCATGTGTGTGTTGGAGGTGAACCAGCTTACATGTATCATTCAGGAACAGTTTACCTTCACTATTTTTGTGCATTTTATATACAGGTAATCCCCAGTTTACAACATGGTTCCATTCTGATGGCTTGTTCATAAGTTGGTTCTGACTCCAGTTGACTATCTCGTCTTTATTTTTTAAGTTTTCATTATCATTGCCTTTTAATATCAATAGCTTTATAAATTCACCCTCCATTTGTCCTTAGGAGCTGGAAACATTACAAATAAAATCATATATAAAAATAGTTGTAATGTGTACATGAAAAATGCAAACATCCATAAATAATAGAAAATGATGTTGACATTTTGTCAATGGTGATTAGGACTCCATTTGTAGAAAGTTTTGGATTATCTCTGGGAATGTGCATGGCTTCAATGGTCAAGAAAATTGAGGACAATGAATGTACAAATGTGCTTTACACAATTGATGTATGTATGGATTGTCATAAGAGCTGTATGTGCCCCCAATAAAACAATTTAAAACAATTAAGAAAAAAAGAAAGAAAATTAATGAGTTTTCTGTATGCCTCTTTAATGCCCTGCAATATTATAGGTAGTACATACAAGGGGGCTTCAAAAAAACTCATGGGAGAATTAACGTTATCTTTTAATTCCATTTTCCACAATTTTTTTTGAAGTCCCAGCCCATTACAAACAAAATTTACCCCAAAAACAGACAACGGACAGTTGTAAATGTTATTCCTTGGAACTCTAATGCATTATTGGTTAGGGACTACCTGTATTGGGGGTTATATGATAGTTTTCTTTTTCTCTCTAGTAAGTGTTTTTTAAAGTTCATTCATATAGTAGTAGCTTGCTTTTATTAGAATTTTATTTCATTTAATGAGTGAGTAATATTCCTTTATGTGGCTGTACCATTATTTTATTTATCTGTTGCTTATTATTAGGTTATTTTTCACCTTTGGGGTATTGTAAGTGGTCACTGATACACAAGTATATATGCATCCCGACTTTAAGTCTTTGGGGCACATACCTAGGAATGGAATGTCTGGATCAGGTAAGTGTTGGACTGCTAACCGCAAGGTTGGAGGTTCAAGTTCTCCAGCTATTGCACAGAAGAAAGGTGAGACTGGTCCGGTCAAGTTTTACAGCCTCAGAAGCCCTACAGTTTCCCTATGAATTGGAAACAACTCACTGATAATAAGTTGGTGGTTTTTAATGATAATTCAATGTTTAACTTTTTGAAGAACCGAAAAGTTAAGAACTAAAACATGAAATTCTTAGAACGATACATAGCAAAGTGTTTCAACTGAAACCATACTATTTTACAGTTCTACCAGCAATGGTGAAATCCCAGATTCACTGCCTTTGAGTCCGTTCCGGCCCACAGTGACTGGATCGGACAGGATAAAACTGCCCCTGTTGGTTTCAAGGCTGTCAATCTTTACTGGAGTGAAAAGCCTCATCTTACTGGCATGGAGTAAATTCTTGAGTCAGCAGAGAATGCCCTATCAGCCATTCCTTGATGAAAGTCAGCTAAGGTTGAAACTGAAAGAAAAAAGGAAGCTGGTGGGGCCACATTTCGCGAGGCAATTACAATAGGTTCTTACAAGCTCAGTGATAGGGGATTTGTTGGGGCTGGATATGAGAATATTTGTGATTCAAAACAGAACACACCAGTTACTATACTAGAAATAGATTTTGGAAAGGACATGCATGAATGAATGAAGTCAAGCAGGAATTGGTTTGTTTGTTTGGTTTCTTTTTTTTTAAATCATTTTAGTGGGGCGCTTACAACTCTTATCACAATCCATACATCCATCCATTATGTCAAGTACTTTTATGCATATGTTGCCATCATCATTTTCAAAATATTTTCTCTCTACTTGAGCCCTTGGTGGCAGCTCCTCATTTTTTTCTTCCCTCCCTCATGAACCCTTGATAAATTATTATGATTTTCATATCTTACATCATCCGCTGTTTCCCTTCACCCACTTTTCTGTTGTTCATCCCCCTGGCGGCGGGGGTTATATGTTTATCATTGTGATCAGTTCCCCCTTTCTCCCCCCACCTTTCCCCCTACCCTCCTGGTTTCAGTACTCTCATTATTGGCCCTGAGGAGTTTGTCTGTCCTGGATTTCCTGTGTTGCCAGCACTTATCTGTACCAGTATATGTGGGGTACCAGCCCCTACAATCGAATGGGTCCAAGGAGCAGTTGCGTAATTGAGAGGTAAAATTAAAGAGACATCAGACAAGATAAAGCATGCAATTACTCACCTTCAGGACGGCCATGATATCAGAAGCCAGGTCCACACAGAGAGAGAATATATTTCTAATGAAGGCTTATATACACTTAGCGGACATGCAAGCCCCCCTAATTACATCATAACAGAAAGGGGTTGTACAATAGGCATACGTGCGACAGGAAGGGGATGAGCCAGGGGTGTACACGCAATAGGAAGGGGAGACACTAGGGGTATACATGTGACAAGATGGGTGGACTCTAGATTCAAGATGGCAGCCTAATCTTGGTCCTCCTTGAGTTGGCTTGACCTTGTTTTGGGGCTCTCTTTCAGGGGAACAATCCACTATCCTTATCAGCAGGGAGTGGGCCCCACCTAGGGTGGGACAGATTATAGGGTCTGATTGCTCTAGATGTCTAATAACCCTCAGGGAGATAACCTCTAAGCCTGCGGTTCTCAACCTGTGGGTCGCAACCCCCTTGGGGGTCGAACGACCCTTTCACAGGGGTTGCCTCATTCATAATAGTAGCAAAATTGCAGTTATGAAATAGCAAAAATAACTTTATGGTTGGGGGTTGGGGAGTCACCACAACATGAGGAACTGTACTAAAGGGTCATGGCATTAGGAAAGTTGAGAACCACTGCTAAGCAGTTGACCTCCAAGTGTATAGCCATTGGCCATGTGTTAGCAAGCAGCATCTTAGGTTTGCCCTGTGAGTTTCTGAGCCTCTTTACAGGAGTAGAAAGCAGCTGGAGGTTTCAAACTGCTGACCTTTTGGATTGCAACCCAAGGTGCAACCCATTATGCCAAAACTCAGGTCTCTTGAATCCAACTCATAGTGACCTATAGGATTTCCGGGGTTGTAAATCTTTATGGAAACAGACTCATTGTCCTGCAGAGGGGCCGATGAATATGAACCACCAACCTTGCTGTGAGCAGTCCAGTGCTTACTGGACATCACCATAAGGGCTCCTTACAGTTCATGTAGTTCCACCCTGGAATGCACACGTTGGGGGAATCTTGTGCTTTTCCAGGCTCTTAACATCATTCCAAGGAGCCTTTACTCACGTAGTTGGTTACGCATAAGGCTGCTACCCACAAGGTCAGCAATTCTAACCCACCAGCCACTCTGTAGCAGACCACGAGAACTGTTTGTTCCTGCAAAGATCTACAGCCGCAGAAATAGGGTTACTACTACATTGACTCAGAATTGACTCAATGGCAGTAAGTTTGGTTTGGAGGTCTTTGGTGTATTGATTGATCAGGGACAAAATTATGTCGATGAACGAACAACTTAGATTTGGGGTCCTTACTTCCTAAAGGAAATCACACTCAAGTATACCAACTTTGCCAGGCCTCAATATTCTTTTCTTGCCCTGAGATGCGTAAATTTCTCCATCTGTGCTCTGCTTGTCAGAAGGAAAAGGCTCAGGGAGCTGTGTGTGCCTGGAAGGCCGGACCCTTTTCGACTTTCAATGCAAGTACTGTGAGGGTAGAGAACTAACTTGAGCCTGGGAGGAAGCCCTGCCCAGGGAAAGAGAATGTGTCCCTCCCTCCTTACTCCACACTGTTTCTCCCTGTCCCATTGCAGGTCCCAGGCATGCCTCTGAGAGAATGGATCCAGTCTGCACAGTAGACACTTAGAGCGACTACTGCCTCGCCATCCACGCACTCACAAAGAAGGGTTTCAGCCGCTCTGGCTGGCTGGGTCGACCAGACGGTTGCCATCTACCTCGGAATCGCCTCGTGGCTGTGCTTCCACTCCCATTTCTCTTCCAGCAGTGGCTTTTTGGGCGCTCACTTAGAACTGCAGAAGCTGGAGCAAGGAAATGGTGAGTGCCACATAAAAACTGGGTAATTCTTATCATGAGGAGCGATAAGAATTACGAGGGGACCAGACCTGGGCTCCTGGCCCTCATGTGTTTCTCAGTGAAGGAACACAGTGGCAGAGGAGGCAAATGGCCTGGGCCCAAACAGCCGTCCAAAGGCCCTGTTGCACTGTCATGGGCCCTTCTCGCATCCATTTGAGGATGTGGATTTTCAAGGCATGAATGCCTGAGGTTACCTTCCGTACAGGACTTCCAGAGCTGGCACCCTGGGGCCTGACCATTCTCATTCTGGCCCTGAGTGTGCGATATTGAAGGCTAGAATCTTCTGAGCAGAACCTGGCAACAGGGCAGGTCTGGCCCTCGGCCGTGCATGAGACGTCGCTGCGACAGTCGTCTTCACTTTTCCGAGGCCCTGTGCCTTTTCTGTGTGGGTCCAAAACTGTCCCCCACATGGGTCCTGGGGCAACGAGGTGGAGGCCAGAGTTAGGGAAAGAACCCTGGCTCATTATGGAGTTCTGCATGGGACCAGAGATTCTCATTTTCTCACCAAAGAAATTAGACAAGAGAGAAACGAGTTTAGCTAAATCATGTTAAACATTTTTCAAATTGACAGCCATTGAGTTGACTCTGACTCATACCGATCAGATAGGGACGTCCAAACAGTTTTTTGTTTCTAGTGGGGAATCATTTTGCTTGAAGTTTTCAAGTTAGCGAGAAGCATGATAGCCAGTGGAGAGCCCTGTCCTTCCACCTGTCTGTGCCTAGTGCCGGGCTTTAATTTTCAAACATGCTGACTGCTCTCACAGTCTTTAGATTCGAATCAAAACTTGCAATGTTATTTGCTAAAGCAGCTAAAGGATGTGAGATGGGTGTATTTTCATTCTCAGGATCACAGTTTTTTCTAGAAACACATTTCAGGTCAGTTTGTTACATTTTTACAGAGAATATTTTCATTGAGTTAATATTGAACTTTCAGACACAAGAATGTCTGTTTTAAGTGATGAAAACGTCTTTTTCTAAAGCTTACTTGAAATTTGAGAAGATTCTAAGAGATTCTTGCTACATTTAACATGCAAAGAGCCTTCAGAAAGATCCCATGGAGATCACGTGTTGGAGCATGAGGGATATGTGAGAACATCAGGCACGGGAGAGAACTGACATGCCCCAGGGAACAGTAAAAGTCTCCCACCAGGACCTTGTCCAGAAATTCAGGATGTATCTCTTTACTTATATTCTGTTTATAAGAAATGGGCAACTGTAACAAAATAAGTGGTAGCGTCCATGAATTTTGTGACCCATTGTCAAAAATGAACAGACCCAGGGACAGGAGACTGAAGTAGGTTATGCAAAGGGCCGCACCGAGAAGGTGAGGACACAGCTGCAGTGGCTGATAGAAAGGGAAGACCACAGGGGCAGTGGATGAAGAATGCCAGTCTTTCCACTTGGGACCTTGCGCCATGGGCTACAAAAAAGATAAGGGGAGGTCACTGCACTGAGGTACAGGGAGTTGTACCTACGAGGCCATGGCTGGTTCCCAGTAAACTGACGCTAGGTGGCCTGTGGTGTTTTAATCTGGCTCAGCCTGGACAGGAATGAAGTCTGCCCTAATTCTGGTGGCTAGACCCAGAACAGGAAATGCCATGGAAGTTGCTGATGATGGAAAGATAAGGGTGAGGTTTACCCTCCTTACCCCTTGATAGTGCAAGTCCTTGCAACAGTTAAAATATAAAGTTGTATAAAATACAGAAATCTGCATTTGGTGGATCTACATTAGCTTTCTTTCTCTCTCTCTCTCTTTTAACTCATCACCATGATTGGACATTTTGAAAGTTCCGTAACATTTTGCTCTTACAAAGTTTGCTCTAGTGAATGTGAACTTCTAAGACTCAGGTTATCAAAAGTTTGGCCTAATAAACCTTTTTCCATAAGTGTTCTTCCATAAGCTAGATCAACATGAAGGGGTTCTCAAAGCACTTGGTAAAATTAGTATAGGTATATTACATTTCTTTCCAAGTTTTAAGTAATACCTTGAACTTTCCATTATAAAGTATATTAACAAAGAATGTATGAAGCTTTTCAAGTAAAGTGTTAGTAAAACTAATCTAAACAACAGATTCTAAATAGGACTTGGGACGTTCTTAGCCTCTCGGTGTGCCATGCTCTGATCTTATTAACCTGCAGGTAAATTCCTTATTACTGTTATGGCTCTTATCCATTATGAAGGGGATCCAGTGGGTACTTTCAGCTTTCTTCACCAGCACCATAATTCAAATGCATCGATTCTTCGTGGTCTTCCTTATTCCCTGTCCAACTGTCACCGGCACATGAGGTGATTGAAAAGATATCTCGGTCTCTTCCCTATGTCTTAATCTTATTTAACATTTCCCTCTCCTTTGGTGCCCTAAAATCATTTGTTCTGAATTTCTGAAAGTGTTATAATTTTACTTTTTCACAATTAAAATTCATTTACTTGGTAGGTAGGAATACATTAAATTAATTAATCCAATTAGATAATTATTTGACTAAACCTCACATATTAAAGTGCTTCCTCTGTCATAGGTCAGCATTCCCTGTTTATAAGCCATTTACTTATTTCCTTCATCTCTTTGTGTGTTATTATACTGATATATGCTAATTTATTATAGCTACACACACTAACTCTCCTCTCTCACCGAGTGTTATACATGCATGTATATGTAGCTGGACAAGTCCTCATGCATTATTCTTAAGAAGGTCTTGGCTATCTGTGGACATATGAACCTTCATATAGATTTTTTGAAGTTTTTACAAGTTCTGTAGCAATAAGATCTATTTAAGATAGAACACTATTTCATTCAATCTGGATGTTTAGTAATAATCTATCATTTTAAATCAGTATTATTTACTTAATTAGACTCCTAGCCTCCTCCCCCTTTTTCCCACTAAGATGCATATTATCTTCTTTTTTTTTAAATCATTTTACGAGGGGCTTGTACAACTCTTATCACAATCCATGCATACATACATTGCATCAAGCACACCTGTACATTTGTTCCCATCATCATTCTCAAAACATTTGCTTTCTGTTTGAGCCCTTGGTATCAGCTCCTCATTTTTCCCCTCCCTCCCCA